GCTCATTTGTCACCCTTATTTGTACCAAAAATACAAAAATGACATAAAATTATCATCTTAATTTAGTTACACGGATGATCGTAAATTGTTGAAGTCGTAATTATTTGTAATCAACATGTCACATTATATTTATGTATATACGTCTCTATGTTGTGGAAAATTGCTAAGTTATTATATATTTATACCTACGTATTTTCTGCACACGTATATGTTTCGTTATCATTTTTATTATACGTGGTAGAGCCATGCTGCAGTTATATTGGTAGTATAGTTGTAGCACGAATGGGTCGGCTCGACCGGGGAAGGACCACGCTCTCACAGAATACCAGCGTGAAATAGTAGCTTAATGTTGTTGTATTTCGTATGGTGAGTGTAGGGAACCGGAGACACTTTTTACTGGAAACGAGGCATTCCATCTTAGTCCTCACGGGTGACAACGCATCTGCATTTTGATTCGTAATCGAGGATAGATGTAGATGTCTATGGGCCACAGCAACCACTTACCATCAGGTGGACTGTGTGCTCATTTGTCACCCTATCCTATAAAAAAAATTAAGATAATCTCCTCCGTCAAAGGTTTGCTTAGAAAGATCGGATTTTAAGTGATACCCATTTGTACATTTAGTACTATGTTTATCATTCTTTGCTGTAAAGAATATACAAAATTGCCGGCATCTGTATAGTTCAAAACAGACATTTGCAAATACATTTCCAAAATACCTACGTTGTATTTTTAAGAAATTATTTTATCATATTTCATTATTAATAATGAAATATGATAAAAGGTCGTTCAATTTTTATTTTCTTTAAACGAAATATTAATAAACGTGCTTCAAGGATAACATTATTTAACGTCTACATTTTATTCACAAAGGATCACATTCCAGGAACGGAACATACAATGTGTGACTGCATTGTTCATTTTTTAAATAAACTTAAACCTTACCTCGAGTAATATATTCGAGAGACCGCCCATGGTGTTAAACCATTGTGTACTTACCAGACTATACTGATTCAAAAACAACCAATTTTTTACCCTCAATTGTTTGAATGTACTTCATAAACACTGCTTTCAATAGATGGTGTGATTTTTTAGCAATTAGAGGTTTTAAATCTTAAAAAGAAAGCTACAGCTGCCGGTTACTGTTTACTTTTTGTTTAAGTGTTGGCTGCCGTGCTGGTCTAGTTAGTAAACACGACATCTAATCATGAGGTGTCGGGTCGGGTCTTAAAATCAGTTATTGAGTTATTCTATTAAAAAATTCTCACCAGCTGCCTGGAGTCGCGAAGTTGGTAGTTTCACCCCAGTGCCTCGGAAAGCATTGTAGCCCTTGTTTATGCGACTGATCTCTCCAGTGAGTTTACCGTCCCATCGGGCTATGAGAGTTGTCACCTCTGAGGAGCTCAGTAAGATACCTTACAGCATGTAAATATACTGGCTATATTTACCTCTTAGTCCGGAACATCAAGTTTTAATGCTGCTGTGTTTTGTATAGTGAATGTAGAGAACCCGGGATCCTTTTTTACTGGAAACGAGGCATTCCATCTTAGGAGTGACAACGCATTTACATTTTAATCTTTAATCCACTAATCAAGGATAGATATTAGAGATGTCTATAGACCACAGTATCCACTTACTATCATGTGGATAGTCCACATGATGTTTGTCCTCGTTTGTTACCCTTATTATGTTTGGCGCGGCAGCAGTAGGTAAGAGTGTGGTATCTCTAATGAGAAAGAACTACCTACTAAATGTATATATATACAAGATGTAACATAATTAACGCACTTTGAGAAAGTAGTTTGTTCAGAATCGTTTACTGAATCGATTCCTGTCATTTTTAATATAGGTAATTTTTTTATCCCAAAAATAATTAAAACTACCTACGTAAATTACAGTCACACTAAATCTGTACAGTCAAAACAAACTGAAATGGACCGTAACTTAAGGCAATAAGACTTTTAAGAGTGCAGTTTTTTTTTTTTGTATTATTACTAATTCTGTCATTCAATAAAAATAAAGAAAAATGAACTTTATTTCAAGCAAGTTAAAGTGTTTGCGTTCGTGGATTTGTACTGTGACAACATTCTTCCGGAATTAGTATAACTAATTTGATAAATAATCAGTGCATAAAAATGTTTCACTAAAAAATCAGTGAATGTATTATGGTTATAACATAATGTACTAATTGGGATGTCTGAGGGTGTGCGTTAAGGTGAATCCCTGACCAAAATGTTGCGAAAGTGCGTTTTTCAGACTCTATTATCTCATTAGTTATGAAAAATAAACTACATCTAAAAGTACATTATTAATGTTCGATATCTTATCATCGCATTCCACGTTCTAATTTATTTTTATGTGCTATAAATACATTTAAAATCAACTTTTAAAAAATGACTAAAATTCTTGATTACATGCATCTGTTGCTAAACGCAACGCTCTAATCATTTGAGGATAACACTAATGGATAGATAATTAAAAAATCTATATTCTCCACGTTTTATTTAAATTTTTAAGTTCGTTTTTTCTCTTTTAATTGAAATAATTCCGAAAATTGTGTGACTTCTATGATAAAGGGGCGTGCGCAGAGTGCGGGCGGCATTACGCTGTATGCGTTCATACGAGGTGGCCGCGTCGCTGGTCGCCGCGCGTCCGTATTTCGCCGCAAACATAATATTATTTGAGTACCTACCAACCGATGCGCTTACGTCACGGTATATTGTAACTCGGCCGTATCTTAGAAATAAATATTACAGCCGTGCGGTACGTAAACATGCGATAGGGATGCCTGCCTCCAGCATTTTTACATTTGCCCATTGATTTATGTGTTTTATAACTCAATGCATTTTCCTACTTTGTGTTTCCATTTAGTTTTATGATTGTACTTAAATATAATTTTTTATATAAACAAATATATAATAGGTACTTTGTGAATTGAATAGGAAGTGTTCAATAAAAATGCGTGTCGTTTTATGATTGGTAGATTTAATTAAAAAACCATGTTTATGTTTGAATAACAAATCGGTCTTATAAATTTGCGGCCGAAAAATATATGCGCCTCGGCTGAGACGTACGAAATGCTTTATTATTAAAATTTTAAATATAAAAAAATCCGCATTATAATATAAAGCTTAATTAAAAATTGTTTTGGGAAACATGGACAAGTTGTAGTAAAGGAATATCTTTTACTTGGTTATAGATACCTGCAGCTACTTTACAATTTATACGTTTGGTTTTAAATGAAGTTTGGATTTATTATTTTTTTATTTCTATTCTATTTTCTGAAAGGGTCCTAGGAAAGGAATTATCCACGTCCACTGCGTGTTGGCGAACTTTGCATGTCTTCGAAATATTTTTTTTCTTATTTCTCAGACATGCAGGTTTCCTCACAATGTTTTCCTTCACCACTGAGCACGTGGTAAATCAACACTTAAAATTGCAATTACAATATTATTGGTGCCGGCGGGGATCGAAACCGGTTTGCTCGCACACTGTGAAAATTTTAGCAAGCGCTAACCATCTGAGCTACCACGGCTCCTCTCCTCTCGAGCTAGAGACTTTATTTTATTTATCGTCAGGCCTGTTGGTCTAGTGGTTAGTGACCCTGACTGCTATGTTGCAGGTCGTGGGTTCGATTCCCACCCAGGACAAATGTTTGTGTGATGACACAATTTTCGGTCTGGGTGTAATTTATCTATAATATTTATGTATTTAGAAATATATAAGTATGTTTATCAGTTGTCTAGTACCCATAACACAAGCTCTGCTTAGCTTGGGACTAGATGGCGTTGTGTGATAGTTGTGGAATATTATTATTATTATATTATTATTATTGGGGTATCTGTATAGTTTTCTCATCTGGTTGGTTTTTATAAATATAAATTAAAATGAAAAGATAAATATACATAAATATCAATAAAATAAAATAAATACAAAAAATATACAAATAAATAAAGATCCAACCATATTAAATAAAAAATAGTCTCCTATCTTTCTCTCTATGTTTTGATCTCCTAAAACGAGTTTGAGTTGGTAAAATCAAGGCAAACTTAGGGTAGGGTTGTCAATTATTATTTTGATAATAAAACTAGTGAAATTCCGCGGTTTTATATGCGCAAGCGTGAACGTAGTTAGAACATAATATAACCTTTATCTTTTACATAAATATCCTAAAAAACTTATTATTTTAATATTTTACTAAGTACCTATAAAATTAACAAGTTTATTGCATTTTTATTTGAGTAATTTTTTATGCAATTTCTTTATCTACGTCTATTTTTAGGAACCTTTATTTAGTCTGAATCATACATAACACTATATTACTGACTTACTTACCTATACGTAGTTTTTTTTTTTGCAATTACAAATATCTTGTGAGGTTGAAAAAGGCAGTAATGAAAAAATAATAAGAATAATAATAATTGACGTCAGCCACTTCTTTTCATAAAAATTTCAGATCATGGTCCATTAGGTTGCAGCTTCAGCGAACCACAACTTATAATAATAATAATAACAGTAATAAAGGCGTAGGGAAGTGACGACCCCATCGCCCGCTGACGAAACAGTTAAGTGACAAAACTGCTACGTCAACGCAGTCAGTCAGCGCCTTGCCAAGAGGTGTGAGCGCCGTGCCTCGGCAGTACTCAGGGTGCAAAGGCCCGTTTGTGCTTACGGCCGTACAATGATACAATGAAACGGTGCCGGGCCTGGGCGTCTCCCGCTAATTGGCGCCCAAAAATGGATGATGGATAAGATTGGAAAACGTATAGGGCCGCTGCCTGGGGGTCGCCGGGGCGCGTCTGGAGCTGGCGCTGGACGCGGCAGCATGCGGGCCGCCAGCCGAGCGCGAGGAGCTGCAAGATCACCTAACAGCCCCCCGCATCCATCATCCCCACCAGACGGCTTGATGTTGGCAGGGTCCTCTCGGACTCGGCAAGCGGCATCCGCCGCTGGTGGAATGCGCCGCATGCGTTGGACAAGGGATATGAACGCAAACGCAATGCGGGCGTACTATAGGGCGAAAGGGGAAGAAACTGCGGGGATAGCGTATCGGGCTCGGATGCATTGCTTTTTTGCTGAGCTGGAGCCGTCTATTCCCGTCACGGAACAAAACCTGGCAGACCGAGTTCGGTACATCATGCGCTCGAAAATATTCGATGATGCCGAGCTCGAACGACTACGACGTGAGGCCATTCCCTCATCGAATGAATTGGCTACGGCTGGGGATGAGGCTCCTCAGGCGACAGACCAGCTGCCACGCGTAGAAGCCGCCATGGATCTTCCAGTTGTGGGTGATTCAGACGATGATGAAATGGTCTCCCACGAACTAGAGCAAATGAGGAGTATATTGGAAGAGGCGATTTTAGAAACGCGCAGCATGCCTCTCGAAAATCGACCGCGACTTCCCCGCATACCCCTAAGCAAGCGAAATCGGGCTGTCGTGAGGGCTCTTAACCCAATGCTGGCAACCTATTTGGAAGCCAGCCGGGACCTTTGCGAGACGGACTCAGTTCTTTTTGGCGCCGCAGTGGCAGCTTGCCGTATTATTGGCGCCAAACTTCCCATGGCTGGACGCGCTACTAAACAAAGTAGCGCCATCCCAGCCTGGAGAAAAAGAATTGAGGACCGTATCGCAAAGGCAAGGGCCCTTATCGGCAGACTGATAAGCTTCAGGTCGGGTAATAATAGACCGAGGGTTGTGCGCACCGTTAGAATGGCGTTTGCTGGGACAAATATCAGTTTGTCCCAGCCGGATATCACGCAGAAACTAACGGAGCGCATAGACGACCTGAAGCAAAAGATTGCCGCTTGGGGGAAGCGGATTCGCCGATTTATCGAGAGGTCAAGGCGGTTCAACCAGAATCGTCTCTTCCAGAGTGATCAGAATAGGCTCTACAAATCATTGTAGCGACCAGAGGTATGTGGAGCGGGCCCAGGACCGGATCAGGCTAACACTGTCGCATTTTGGCGTGGCCTGTGGTCAGAGCCCGTAAACCACAGCGAGGGCCCTTGGACGGAAGTTGTGGCGAGTCAGTGTGCGAGTATTACGCCCATGGACCCCGTCATCATAACGCCGGATGACGTAGCTGAGGCGGTCCGTAGAGCCCCGAACTGGAAAAGTCCGGGACTCGACGGACTGCATCACTACTGGCTGAAGGGGTTCATGGTGTGTCACGCTGTGCTCGCCCGTCAGTTTCAAGAGGCTCTCAACCAGAAGTCGCTCCCTAGCCTCTTCACTACTGGGATCACTCATTTGGTTCCTAAAGACCAGGTTACCACAGACCCGAGCAAATACCGCCCCATTACGTGTCTACCCACCATATATAAGACACTGACATCCATTTTGAGCGCGAGAATCACTCGTCACCTGGAGCTAAATCAGGTGATGTCACGCGCTCAAAATGGATGTCGGGGCGGTGGTCGTGGAACTAAGGAACCACTCCTCATTGACGCGGTCATTGGAAAAGTGGTGAAACGCAACCGTCGGAACTTCTCCGCCGCCTGGATAGACTACAGAAAGGCATTCGACTCGGTGCCCCATACATGGCTAAAGAGAGTCCTCGAGCTGTACAAGATAGACTGTACAGTGAGAGACTTCCTCGAGCAGTGTATGGGGCAGTGGAGTACGATCCTTTGTCATCTGGGCGAGCGGATGATGGCTGCGGAGAACCACATAAGGATAAGAAGGGGTATCTTCCAGGGCGATTGTCTGAGTCCAATCTGGTTCTGCCTCTCCCTGAACCCTCTCAGTACCTTACTGGAGGGATCCGGGAGAGGATTTCAGCTACGGAAAGGAGGGACAAAAGTGACCCACCTTTTCTATATGGATGACCTTAAGTTATTCGCCTCCAGTCGCTCCCATCCTGTGGAATTGCTAAAAATCACTTGTGAGTTTAGCAGTTCCATTGGAATGGAGCTGGGGACGGATAAGTGTGCGGTCCTCCATGTTGAGAGGGGAAGGGTTGCTAACTCTGAGGGCATAGATTTATCTATGCCCGTCAACTTAAGGACCCTTTCCGAGGCTGAAACATACCGATACCTGGGTATGTCACAGAACATCGGTATCGATGAGGCTGGTGTGAAACAGTCAGTTTGCGACGTGTTTTATGCACGCTTGACCAAAGTGCTTAACAGCCTTTTGTCCGGTGTGAATAAGACACACGCATATAACGTTTGGGTCGTGCCTGGCCTCATGTATACCTTTGGCATACTCAGGTGGAATCAGACTGAACTTAACGCCCTGGGTAGAAAAGTCCGCACTACCATGACGTCCCATAGGATGCATCATCCGAGATCGTCGGTAATGAGGCTGTACTTGCCGCGAAAGCATGGTGGGCGTGGCTTTCTGAGCGCGCTCACTATGCATAATCGTGAAGTGTGCAGCCTCCGTGATTACTTCCTGGCGAGATCGGATGATCCATTCTATAATGACGTCATTTCTAGTGATAAAGGGCTTACCCCTCTATCCTTGGCCAACGAGCAATGGCAGGACCCAGCAGTGCTTAGCATTTCCGACCGGGAGACCGTATGGAAGGAGAAGGAGCTCCACGGGAGGTACTACAAGGCTCTACATGAGCCCTTCGTAGATACAGTCGCCTCCCTCAACTGGCTACGTTTCGGTGACCTCTTCGGGGAAACCGAGGGTTTTGTCTGTGCAATACAGGATCAGGTTATTAAGACCAACAACTATCGGAGATACATCCTAAAGGATGGCACCGTCGACGTCTGTCGAGCTTGTCGCCATCCCGGGGAGTCACTTAGACATGTCATCTCCGGTTGTTCGGCGCTTTCTAACTCTGAGTACTTGCACAGTCACAACCTAGTAGCCAGAATTCTACACCAGGCGCTCGCTCTGAAATACGGTCTCGTGGACCGGAAATTGCCGTATTACAAGTACTTGCCGGAAGCCGTGCTCGAAAATGACCGCGCCAGGCTCTACTGGGACCGGGCCATCATCACAGACAGGACTATTCTTGCAAATAAGCCTGATATTGTGCTGATGGACCGGGCACAGTCAAGGATATTTTTGGTCGACATTACCATTCCGTATGACGAGAACCTCGTGAAAGCCGAAACAGATAAGCAAACAAAATATCTGGACCTGGCTCACGAGGTTACCGACATGTGGGCTGGTCTGCCGACCGAAATTATTCCTGTAGTCGTCTCTGCAAACGGGCTAATCCCAGTCGGCCTCTCGGGTCATCTGAGGCGACTGGGACTCCGTGACGGACCGCTCCGGGCTCAAATGCAGAAGGCAGTGGACCTCGATACCGCCCGCATCGTCCGTCGGTTTCTTTCCCTTTCCCCCTAACCCTCGGCCGTTTGGTCTCCCCTGCCGAGGGCTTCCATCTGGTTGGATCTTTATTTATTTGTGTATTTTTTGTATTTATTTTATTTTATTGATATTTATGTATATTTATCTTTTCATTTTAATTTATAATTATATATTTATAGAAACCAACCAGATGAGAAAACTATACAGATACACCAAAAATAATATAATATTATTTTGTATTTATTTTATTTTATTGATATTAATGTATATTTATCTTTTCATTTTAATTTATAATTTTTATATATTTAAATATTTATATAACCGAACCAGATGAGAAAATTATACGGCTCCAACGATTTTAGCGACGAACGCTTGGATTTATTTTTAGAAAATGTCCTTTTGTCCATGTTTTCAGGCAATAAAAAAACTGCTACAATATAAGAAGGTAAATTTCGACAAATCACTAACGGTCGTTATAGCTCAGGTGGTATGTCGGTCGGGCGTGATATCGGAGTTCCGTGGTTCGCGTCTTGGCTTTAGTCCCGCTTTTTTTCCTTTTTTTTCAAGTTCCCTTCTTTTGTGAGAAAATCTATTATTTCAAACCCTTTTTTTTAGTAATTTTTAAAAAATACGAAAATTTTAATTTTAAAATTTTAAAAAAAAATATCTATTTATTTACTAATGCTATATTTATTATTTTAATAATTACCTACCCAGTAGGTAAATATTAAAATAATAAATGTAGCATTATAAACAGTAAATCTCCCTCAAACTCAATTTACTAATATTGCTCCTAAATAAGGAATAGCAGATAAAAGATTAGTAGGTAATAACTATTGCTCCTCAAAATTATATTTGACCTCAAGGTAAAACATATCCTAAAATTCAGTAGCTAAATAAAATAATAATAACTAATATTCAAGTATATTTTCAATATGTAAGTAAATGAAAATAACAAAAATGAAGCACCATTAGCATGTAAAGTTCGAATCCATAATTAATATTTCGACAAATATTATAATTTACACTATAAAAAGCTAATTCAATATTAGCAGTATAGTATATAGTTAAAAATAATCAAAATAGTCTTTTTTATTAATTAGATAATATATTAGAATACATAAATCTAATATAATGCAACTAATATATCGAATAAAGAAAATTAAAATACATTTATCATTGTACGCCGTGTCTATTTCCATAGAAGAGTTCATTGACATCGAAAAAATAATACTACGTTCGTAGCAGTAGGTGGCGTCTTTTGGCGATTTCTTACGCGATATATTGTAGCGAGCGTCGACAGACCAAACGCTCAAGGTCGTTCGCTGGAGGTAGCGCCTTAATTACGTTACATATATATATATATATATATATATATATATATATATATATATATATATATATATATATATATATATATATATATATATATATATATATATATATATATATATTATTTGGTTTAAGTCTCTTCATCTGCTTCAGTTTCCACGTTATATTCATACCCAATATCGATGTATTTCATAAATAACTTTTCCAGCAACACAAAAACAAGACTTTTCCATTACTATTTCTACAAAAAGAACCATCAAGTTATTCGATATTTTATTGCGAAATTTCCGGGGTGCGAATGAAAGATTATTTGTAATGGTTACATGTGACCATTATAGTCTTTGCATGTGACGAATAGAACATAATTTACAGTTTCCGTGATTTATCTATTCGTTTATGACAGTTCTTATGCGGATACTGGTCGCAAATATATTTTTTTATTTTATGACTCGATTTTTTTTTTTGGATTGAAGTATACTCTTTCAATCAGCTCAAAAAATATAAAAGAAAAACTGTACAAGCGGGTAATAACATTAAAGAATATTATGATAATTAAGGAATGAGGTGATCGCTAACATGCTGGTACTATTATAAAAATAATCAAATAAGTAATTGTATTTAAAGGTTAACGTAAACTAATATAGTATGTCTAAACCAAACATGAGCCGTGGTAGCTAAGGGGCTAAGTGCTCGCTGTAAATTTTACGGTACGCAATGAACCCAGGTTCGATCCCTGGTGGCACCAATGAAATTGTTAATTGCAATTTTAAGTGCAGACTGATTTTACGTGTGCTCGGCGTTGAAGGAAAAATAAATAAACAAATTAATCCTAAGAATTCTGAGAGGCTGCCTAATATACTCTCTACTTCCCTCATTCATACAAATGCATTACAGATTATGAAACGCACACAGCTCAACATAAGCCTGTATATTGATAGATATATATGGGATGTAGCTCTAACTACGAGGCCCATACATTACAACCAGCACGCTTACCGCAGAGGTAAATCTACGGAAACAGCCCCGATCAGGGTCATTGACAGGGTCGAAAAATCACGGGAGGATAAAGAAATAGCTCTTTGTGCCTTTCTAGATATTGAGGGCGCCTTCGACAGTAGCCCCACATCACTGCTGATTGGGGGCCTAACATCTAAAAATGTTGACCCCACAACCATCAGATGGGTGAAGTCGATGCTCTCAAGCAGAAAGGCAAAAATAGCGCTGTTTCAAACTTCGATTGAGGTTGCAACCACAAGAGGCTGCCCACAAGGAGGTGTTTTGTCACCCCTTCTTTGGACTCT